TGGGGGCGATATGCTGACTCTGTAAACCGCTTAGAGAGGGCTGAAAGCCCTATGAAGCGGTATATAAGTCTAACTGCTATTGCTATTGCTATTAAATGAAATAAAAGAAAAAGAAAAAAATCCATCCCAACCAGTATTGTAGAAATAAAGAAAAAAAATTAATACATAGGTTAAAAAGAAGAAATAGAAGAAGAAAAACTGATACTTTCACTTTAAAAAGTAGAAAATGTTTACAAAACTTCCATCCATAGAAAAAAATAAAAATAAAAAAGGATAACATACTGTCCAATAATGCTTAATTTTGCTGCTTATTTTCTTTTCTTTTACCAGTTTAGTTTAGCTTCAATCTTTTTGGGCAATCTTTTATAAAAATAAGATTTCCTCACCAGATGGACACACTTTCTGTTTCCGCTTTCCTCCTGTTGAGGAGCTGTCCCGACTTCAGCAGCTTGGGGCTGTGCTTATGTCACCGGCAAGAAGAGATTCTCTTGGATCAATCAGGGATTTGCGGTGTCCCTGAAATCAACAAGATGTACTCTTCCCTGTCACCATCTCTTCAGGACAGTTTAGGTCCAAATGGACCGTCCAGCGGCAAATCTTAGAGCTCGGAGATCGCATGTCATGTCATCGCGACATCAGTCTCTTTCTCCCTAGGGAATTGCTTTTATCCCTGCTGTAGCTCCTTGTTCAATGGCCCTGCCCTTGCCCTATCCTCCCAGTGAGTCCTTCTTCTGGCCCTTGTTGATGCTGGGCGTTCCTTGGTTGCTCAGGGAGATGTATGACTTGTTCTCTGTCCCGAGAAATTGGCTCAGCCCGGTTGCAGCCAATGTTGCATTGTAATGGACTCCAGGAGAAGGGATGCATTGAGTGTGCTTCACATTGGGGGAGATGGGATCCCCTCCTCATCCTGGACCCCATTATGATGCAGATCATCATCTGCAGCTGGGCCAGGCTAGTGTCTCACAGCGGAGATCAAGTCGTGCATCATCCTGAACAACCGAGGTTTG